TTCCTCATTGTGGTCGTTCCTAAGGGTAGTTAGGGAACCTGCCCCAAGGTCTGGCTGTTCTCCCCTCCTTCATTGTCTTCTCTGAGTGGATCAAGATGTTGTTGATCCCTGTAATGGGGACTATTCTGACCTTCTTGGGCCGGACGTGCCTCCTGTGGGCACTGTAAGAGCTTCAAGAGCTCCTCATTTTGCTTTATCAAGCGCTGATTGACGAGGCAAAGGGCCTCCATCTCGTTATTTGTGGGGGATTCCCCATGGGAGGATTAGTTTCTAGAACGTTCTCGGGCTGTTTGCCAGTGGTGGCTCCTTATTGGTCCTGCATCCGAGATGAGTTTGTTTGGTTTCTGTTCATGTTTCGTGTTGACACCATTAATCACTGAAAGATCAGCTTATTTGTAACAGGAACAGTTGTTCCCACAGACGACGCCAAACTGATAGTGCAGACTAATGTGGGTGAGCAGAGTGCGTGGGACCAACGGTGAAGTTAGGCTGCCAACTTCATAATGGCAGTGACGAAGTGTTTCTTAGGGGATAGGAGAATTTATACAGTAAGAATATAGTGGTTCACCGGCTCTGGAGCTTGGCTAATCCACTCTCAAATGGAAGCTCTTGCTCCTTTTCTTCTCTATTGATTATTTGAATGTAATACAAGACAGTGCATAATCCAATTAGGGGTTTTTTTTTGCCCCCTTCTCGATGAGGCGTTACATAATATTTATATAACTACCCCTATTCTATGGGATTTCAGCTGAGATCTTTGCCCATTATTCATGGGATCCTCTTTGATTTTAGAAGAGAATCTTGATTGGTTGAGAGTTTCATTTGGCTGTTTCCTGGTCGGTTCGACTACGATCTCTCCAAGGGGAGCTCCACCCCTGATTCTCTGAGTTTTTCGTGTCTTTCCTGACCTGATCTCCTGCTCTGGCTTATTTGAGGTATCATCAAGTATTATCAACTACTGCTTTGATAATTTAATATGAGTGTAATTTAAGACTTCAAGAAAATGTGATCGGTCTTATTCACTATTTAGATTCAATTTATTTTATTTATTTACTTTTCAATTTTAATTTAGAAATTTGATTTGTCATGATCTTGGTGCATGATTTTAATTTTTGCAACTATACACAAATTCTATATATTAATTATATTTTTATTCACTTCTATTGACTTTTAATTCATTTTTTGGTCTTCAATTGTCAAATATTTATTGTAAGATTGTAATTTTTTTCAATCCAAAGTCAATATTCTTGATGAGAATTCTGCTAAGTGTTGCTCACACCATGGTAGAAGTAAAATATTTGAAATATAAATTTTATAAATAACTAATAAGTAATCAAATCAATGACACGATGCCTTTCTTTTATATTTTGTCTCGTTTATTTTCTAACTTTACACTTATTTTATATATACATAAAACTACAAATATAGAGATAATGCGAGTAAAAATTAAAAAATAAAAACTAAAATTATAATTAAAAATAGTCAACGTACAACGTACGTGAACACCAACTAGTATATAAAAATATATATATAAAAACATACATAAAAATATATATATATATATATTATGAAATTGTCAATATAAAAATAAATTTTTTATATTTTCTAATTACTGTTCAAATATATATTTAGACTGTCCAAACAGGTTTTACTATTTTCTGTATTGTAAAATTGTTTTTGAAATCATCTAACAAAATAAGTTTTTTATCTTAAAAAATATCAAAATCACTTTCTTAAAACTTTTCTTAAAAACTATTTTCGGATACTATTTTTTGAAATACAAATCAAACAGGCCTTTAGTGTTATGTTTCCCCTCTCTCTATTCTTCAATTCTGTCAAAAATAACACCGCCCTGGAAGATTTTGAAAATCTGTTGAACATTTAGATTCTTTCTGCTCTTCTATTGCGCCTTTGACGAAAAAATTTGTCTCATTCAAAAATTTCGATGTAGATTTAGAGAGATCCGACGACCTCTACACATGTACACTAGTGGCCCACCTACTAGCTCTACGGCAACTCCCATCGGCACCACTCAGGCATTGAATATCTTCACGAGAATGTCGGATTTGTTGAATTTGAATTTTACGACGACTCCTCAGATTCCACCACCGCCACCACCATCAATGTCTTTTGAAAGCTTAAGAATATACCATAGAAGGAAATTTTCAGGAAAGAGAATTCTAAATTTTGTAGATATAGGTGGCTGAGATCTCAGAGGAGGTCAAGTTCTTTAGGGCAAAATTGTCCAAAAAGTCTTAGTCTCTATAATTTGATAAATGTACAATAATTTCTGATCGTATAAGTACTCTAATCACATCAAAACTATCTCACAAAATTAAATTTAACGACTCAAAATAATAACTCTAAAATCATTCCGTTCCGATTGCATTGAAAAATTACCAACCAACCCATTACCTAAAGTAAAAATTGTCAGCTCTTCTATTAGTCTATGTGATTTATAATATTTTTTTAGTGTTTGGCCATCACATAGCAAACCGAGAGCAAGATGGACACGTCAAACCCCTTTGAGCTACAATAACCTTGGCCTCGAGACAAGAGTGGCATTAGGGGGACAAATGGTAGTAGCGGGAAGAGGCGAAGTCCACCCCCCTCACCGCAAGATCCATGGTGTCCACATGACATGACTAATGCAGTCTCATTTGTCAAGCGTAAAATCTCATTTACAAGATAAGAGCAGCATCACGAAATTTAGGGGCAATTGATATGACAAGGCTCGTACCCCCCTCACAATTCAAGGAGATGAGTCATATAGCTAGCACTTTTAGTGTTTGGAACATTTGATGCGTAACGTGTCATCTTTTGTAACTCTAAGACGATCGTAAATAAGGACATCTGTCGCGCTAAACATTTATTTTTGTAAAGAGATAGTCGTGAATAACCCCTTAAAATAGCCTAATTTGCCCATTTACCTGTACTGTAAATGTTCTCACTGTTCACCCTTATTATACACACACGCACTTGTTTGAAACAAATGTCTTGTCGGTGTGAAAATATTTATTCACGTTGCCTACTCCAAAAAAATTTTGTCCAAAAATTAATCTTACCAATTAATAAATTACTCAAGTCTTCTCACCTCAGTATTCTATCTTACTCATCTCTTTAAAATAGTGGGCACTAAACAGGTCCGTCAACCCCAACTTACACAAATATCTAATTAAGTCAAGACACCATTTTTTCTCAACTTCAGGTAGACGTCCTGTCTCACAAGGGCAATTATTGAAGAAATGCACAGTAAGAATAAGTATATAGATTGTTCCAAACTTTTTGTTAGCCTGCTTGTTCGAACTTGATTTGTTAAACAAATTGAGCTTGGGCTTGTGTTTGAACTTGAATTTAATATTATAATCGTGTTCAAATAGCACACGGCTCATTTAAAATCTATATAATAAATTAATTTATAATTTAAATTTTAAAAAATAAATAAAATAATTTTTACTTTTCACGGTTCAGATCGCTTTAAATTTATTTTTTTAAAGTTAATCTAACGACTAATATTAACACCCTAAATTTAATAAGAAAAATATGTCACTAAGAGTGTGTTTGAAATGACTTTTTAAAAGTACTTTTAAAATTATTTTTCATAAGTATTTAAAAAAAAAATAGTGTTTGAAACCCCACCCCCACCACCATTACCTCTTCTTCTACTGCCGCCGCCGTCGCCATCATTACTATCGCCGTCGCCACCACTGTCACCACCACCACCACCACCACCACTGTTGCCGTTGTTGTCACAACCACCACCATTATTGCCGCCACCACCGCCATTATCATCATTGTCGTCTCTACTGTCGTCGTTGTCACGGTCATTGTCACCCACCATTACCATCACCGTCTCCTACCACCATCTCTCATCCCCATTATAATCGATGTTTAAATTCATTTATCTCTCTTTTATATTTGTGATTTGATTTTGGATATAAATACAAATATGTTTATTATTTTATCATTTTTTATTACTTTATACCTTCAGACACAGGCAATAACTATACTTTAACCTATATCTCATACCATTTCAAATAGAACAATGTTATATAATAATAAAACAAGTAACATATATGTTAAACCGCACAATTAACTTAGTGATTTGAGATTTATGATTCTAAAAAAGTTAAATAAATTATAGAAGTCCCATATTTTTTGTGGAAGGTTCGAGTTAAACTCGAGTTTAATTTATTTTATGCATAAATGTATTTAAACAGGCTTTAATATTAATTCTCGATTAATTTGAAAAATTATTAGATAACTTTAACTGCAAGCATCCCCCAAAAAAGTAAGACAAGTGAATTGTACATAGTACTTATTCAATGTAAAATTATTGGTAATTGTAGAATTTTATAGGATCCATTGGTACTATGTATTTATTTTTATAATTAATTAGTGATATTATATAATAATAATAATTATTATTATTATTATTATTTTGTAGTGTCATCAATAATTTCTATGAGATGAAGCGGATGATCAAACTACTTGTCTTTATTAGTAGTAGATAATTAGTACCTTATGGTTTGGTCCATGGAACACAATTTCCACGCGCAATCAACGCCCGTAGTTATGAGTAGTCAATCATGTCTTTAATTTAACAACTCCTTGGGACGTACGCCAAGCAATAACAACTCCCACAAACTCTTCAACCCACGCGCACTGAGCTCAATCATAAACGCGCGTGGAATGAACTCCTTCAAGACATGAAACGACAATTTAGCCACGTTGACATTTCTCCACCGTCGGATCCCATTCATCTTCCTGGCAATCCAACCGTCCAACCACATCGATCCACGCCCAAAAGCTCCTTTCTTTACCTTTTTCATTTCTGTCCTATATATATACACATTCGTATATAATAATACTAAGGTCGTCATTTCTACCTTAAGTGGTTTGCCGAGCTTATTTTGTCCCCTGAATACCATTGTTCAAAACCGCTTCTCTTCCTTACTACTATATACTTCTCAACTTTCAGTTCAAGCCATCTCTCTCTCTCTCTCTCTCTCTCTCTCTATCTCAAACTTCTCCTTTCCCTCTCTACTGATACATTTTTTAAGATTTCAAGTAGCCACTCTCTGTCTCTCTCTACATGCTGTAGAACATAGAGAGAAGCTGGTCCCTATATAAATACCTCTCTTACTCCCTCTCTATATAATTTTGTTGTGTTTATATGTATAAGCGCATATTCTCTCTCTAGTTTCTCTCTCTTATAGCTCGGTTCTCGAGTGCAATAATATTTTATTGTTCAAACTCTCTCACTCTGTAAGCATGGACAGGGACTAGAACTTTCTCTGTCCAAATTGGCGATGATGATCATGAGAGGAGTATCATTGTGAAGTGTTGTATATATTCATCCATGGCGTATCCGAACCATTTGTCACAAGAAATGGCTTCTTTACAACACTACTCAGACCAACACTTAACCACCGAAAACACCTCCGTTCTCCGTAATGTTCTCCCCCAACATCTAGGCCAAACGTCACCAGATGCCGCCGGGAAGCCACCGGACCAGCACAATCACCAACAACCGGCTCAGGTCGGTGTCGGTCCGACGTGGCTCAACAGCGCAATTCTGCGACAACAGAGCCAGTACGGAGAGGGAAACTTCTTGAATTTGCACACGAATTCGGACCCGAGGACGTCGCAGACGCCGAATCAATGGCATTCGAGGCCGATTCTGCAGAGGAATATTAGTGATGTGAGGGACGATGTTCAGGTGTCCAACGATTCAATGATCGCTGCGGCTATTTCGCATGAATCGGACGATTTGAACAACAACAACGAAAACAACAGAAACATTGAGAGCAATAGAGGCGGTGAGCTAAATGATAGCGAAGTCGGTGGCGGCGGTGGCAGTGGTGGTGCTGATGGAGTTGTTAATTGGCAAAATGCGCGATGCAAAGCAGAAATTCTAGTGCATCCGTTGTACGAACAGCTTTTATCCGCTCACGTTGCGTGTTTGCGAATTGCCACGCCGGTGGATCAGTTGCCGAGGATCGATGCGCAGCTGGCGCAGTCGCAGCACGTGGTGGCCAAGTACTCTGCGCTTGGACATGGTAATCTTGGTGATGATAAGGAGCTTGATCAGTTCATGGTAAGTGTTTTGTGCTCTGTTTTTGTTTTTTTAATTTGCCTTAATTTTAAGTTTTCCTTTGAATTTCTTGTTCTTTGTGGACTGTTGTTATTAATTTGGGGTATCGTATGGGGATAGCATTTATGAGACTGAAAAGGGAACTACTGTCTTTATGCATGGTATATGATTATTTGGAATTTAAGGCTTTTCCGGTGATTCAGAGTTTGTTTTATGTGGTTTATTGCTTCGTGATTATTTTGTAAGTTTAATTTTTTGTCTGCTTCATGAATTTAACTGATATAAACCCTATAATCTTTGCGTCCCACATTCCTTGCACTCCGGAGGAAGCTCTGAGTATCAGAAGGGAACTTCATGGTTATTTTGGCTCTTTTACTGAATGTTCAAGTGCATTCTGATTGTGTCTTTCATGACTGGCTGGGTGATAGTACCCAATTCTAAATCTGTTTTCTCAAGTTGCTGAATTTCTAAACTTGTAAGGTTTGATACTTGTAATGGGGAATTGAAAGAAAATCATGGTTATTTTGGCTCTTTTAGTGATTGTTCGAGTACATTCTGATCGCTTTTTTCCTGACTGACTGGGTGTGTTCCAACAATTAAATCCTTTTTCTCTAATTTTTGTATATCTAAACTTGTAAGATTTGATAATTGTAATGGGGAATTGAGAATGTTACATCCCTTCTCCACAATCACAGAAGGACACTGAGACATATGTTCAGTTAGTTAAAGTAAGTTATGGTTAGGAAGTGTAACTGTCTGTCTTGATTGGAGTCCTTGCTCTTATAGAAATATTATTGACTGAAAGTTGGATTGGTGAGATGAAGGAATGGTAATGTCAGCAATTATGCAAACACCTTGTATTGTAACAAAGAAGAATGCAGTCAACCAGAATTTACTTATTGCTTATGTACATATTTTCCACCATCACCATTGTAAATGAGCAAAGATAATAAATTGCTCAACTAATTCCGAAGATTGCAAGAACATAAGTTGAGAACCTAATTGTGTAGAAGCCTTGGCTCCAATCTTGGGTACAATGAAAATTACCATCACCACTTTTCTCTTTTTATGGTATCTCTAGATGATAGGATAAATCGTATCTTAGGTGTCAACATAATTGAGAGAGACGGCCTTACATCGACTTTCCAATAAGAGAAATTGCATTTAGCAAAGTCACAAGTCATGGAAAGTGATATTGATGCAACCAAAAAGCAAAAACCTTTAGTAAATTTTTAACTTGAAAAAACAATTGTATTTTGATAAGAAAAGCAATTTCATTGGACATGGTATGAAGATAATATGAGACGAATGGATGTACAAAAAAAGCCGCTGCTTGGAAGTCTTCTTAAGGTTTCCAAGCACTGTACCTAGTCTTTTGTGGTTATATTTCTGCCTCTACTTGTTGTTATTACATGCACTGAATAATATTATTTTGGTCGTGAGCGGTAAAGGCCTATTATAACCTTTATTTAGTTTGTATAGAGAAAGGAAAACTGATTCATTTGTCATTTTTACTTCCTATAATTCTAGAAGTCATAAGGATGCTTTGTAAAATTTCCTATTTGGAGAAGATTAATCAAAATAGGAGTAAGATTTCAATGCCAATGTTGTATAATTTGTCTCTAAAGTAGAGTTTCTTCAATTTAGGGTCATCAAAAGTGGTCGGCTTGGACATAGTAGCATATATCCTACATTCACTCTTTCTGTCAAATTGTTCAAGTGTAAAGAACAGCTTGAACATAAAATTTCTCGCTGGTGAAAGTTTTTGTGTTCTCTTTCAATATCTAATGGATGATGGATGCAGAGGCATGTCAACTATGTTAGGAAATTGATTTTGTATTTGGCTAATTCCATGAGGTCAGATGTAAATATCTCAACTAAATCTATGGTTATGATGCTATGAAGTTAAAGACTGATGGAAAGAAGGAAGATTAAGTCCAAGATACAAAGTCATATTTGATTCATTTGAAGGTAATGACCTAAAGACTTAGCTACCTTGACTTTGGTTTACATAGGTTAATTATAAATGGATTTAGTATGTGTTCCGTATATGACTTTTGCTTTATTCTATTGAAAAATCTTTTTGAAACTCAAAGGTTGTTTTGAAAATACTAAATGAGTGATGAGATGGACCCTTATTGAGCAATGCCCCTTGGTGCTCAATGTGGCAAGTTTTTTTGTGTTTTAGGCTTAAAAACTAGTAGGGACTGTTGAAAGCTTGCTGGCATGTGGTTCGAGCAGTTCCTAAACACTTAAGGAGAAAGCTAGAGAAAAGAAAGAAGTTAATTGTGGCCATTGCTGGCTAGGCCGCTCGAGCTGTCCCTAAAGCTTCAACATGTTATTGTTTGTCTTGTCATTCCAGTAGCCACCGCCCGATGTCCATTGGCTAACAACTCATGTGGTCTATTGCGAATTTGAATTTTCTTGTGTTCCTATTAAATTCTATTTTTGAGACCTACAAATTAGTGACAGTTTTTTCTCACTAGGGTAAGCCTTGTAAGTTTGAAAATCTATTTAATATTACAATTAGGAAGTTGAATTTCTAACTTATAAAAGCATAACAATGGTCAAAATTGATCCAGTTTTCATCTATTTTGATCCAATGGTACAAAATTCATCATAATTTTTTTTTGCTTAAATAGATAATTTTCTCTATACGATTTCAATATCAGATAATTCAACCACCACACTCTTCAATGTCAGATAATACTACTAATTCGCACATATCTCTCTCTCCCATACTTATCTCTTAATTTTTCTCTATTCATTTTAATTTTAAATTACGTAACTAAAGAAAAGAAAAGAAAGGAAAAGAAAAAATAAATTTTTATTTAAAATATAAATGTTGCACGATTAATACTCAATTTTTAATAGTGTAGGTGTCTTAAGGTATGGGTATATTGCTAGTAGTCTTATACATTATCTAGAGAAATTAAAACAAACCCTAATCTCTCTTAACATCTAAAGGCCACAAATCTACCAAGATCATCTTGTGCTATCATCTTCAAACTTAGAATATTAGAGACATCTAGTGAAAACCACCAAACACATAGTGGAGTGGGAGATCTAAGAAAGATTTCAAGAACAGATTGTGGAGCTCGGTTCATTACCTAGTGAAGCTAGTACTCGAGCTTGCAATGGACTCTGGAGAAAAGATTCAAGGAAAAAAAATATCTATGGTATGGGTTCAAGTATATGTCTTTGAACTTGTAATCTGACTTTGAGTGTAATTGATTAAGTTAGGTGAACTACAATTTTGTGGTTTTTCCAGTCTAGGATTTCCACATAAGAATTATTTGTGTTGTGGTTGTGCTTCTCTATAACCAACTCTTTACATGCAATTTTTACATCTTCCATGTGTTTGTTGATATGATTGATTAAATGATTCTTAGAATTTGAGATGCCTTGTGGTTGTTGAATTGGTGGAAGGGCTTTGGAGGGATAAGGTGTAGAATATGCATTGTGTTGATTGAGTTAATTTGGGCTTGCATACATTCATCCTTCATAGGGCCTCTCATGGGTCAATTTAAGGGGTTTTGCACATTACTTGACAAATGAGCGCTATGAATGTGTAAGACCTATTCTACACCCCCCCTCTACTTTTGGTCACTCTAGGTTACTACACGTCTCTAACAAGCATGTCGGGATGTGATCCATTTCACACTCAATTTCGATTGTAAATGGTACACTTTGGTGTTGACATATGGCAAAGGGAAACTGAACAGTGTGGACAAAGATGAAGTGCTAGGTCTGTTCATTATTTTTTATCAATTTGTTATTTAAAGAAAACTATTATGTGCACTCTTTGGATTATAGTGAAACTTTAACCTTAATGCTATCGTTCAACAGCATGCCTAGGTTCATGAGATTTAATTCCCTTGATGTATTACATTGTTGTGTCTAGAATTGAAAATGTGTTCCAAAACCATAAATCCCCATTGCGTTTGTTATAGTGTGCTAATTGGGAACATAAAATGGAATGCATTGCATTCTTTAAATATTTCTTATGTTTTCAACTTTTACTTGCTTTGAAATATTAAATTCAGCATAGGATACAATTTGGTATTCTGTGGGTTCCATGTGGGCCTTTTTCTTTCATGATGTTGGAGCCTCATAAGTCAGGAATATCTTTCATGTAACAAGATATACCTGTTTAATCACCTTTCTTTATCTTATAAATCCAAAATAGCGGTTGGTTTAATTTTCATGATAAAGGAAACTTACATGTCTTCTGTCATTACTACAAGATGAGATACATTGAATGACACTTGTCTAGTCAACTTGTCTAGTCAACTTGTTTTCATTTTTTGTTTCCTTCTTCCTTTGATTCTGACTAGGATTTGTAAATATATCTATAGAAGCTTAGCCTAGATGTGGATTACTGTTTGATGGTGAAATATAAGACATGAAGTTTCGTGTTAAGTCATTTATTTCTTTTGGGAAGCAAATATCTGATGGGACTTCGCTTCTGGTGAGCTTACTGTTCATCCATTTTACAAAAATTACTGAGTTTTAAGTTTCCTTTTTCCAATTGCTTGTATTCTCTAACAGTGAACTTTCCAAATTCAAATCCTGACTTGGTAATTAACACTTTGGTGTGCCCATCTATATTGGTAATTCTAATAAACTTAACCCTTTGAGAATTGAGATTTTACATGCCTTGACTTTTGGATCTAGAAGAAATTAGCCGACATTTGAATCTGGTGTCTATGGCACATGCGAAGTAGTAAGTCAATGCATTGGAGATGTATCTTCTCTTATATAGAATCTGAATTAGAATGATAGGTGGAATCAGCTGAACTAGTGGGTTAGGATATCTTTATAAAAAATGGTAGACTGATTTGCAACTATGACAATTCTGTGAACCAAAATAATGATCATTTCAGTTTTTTCTTATTTTAGGTAGATTCAGAAAACTGTCAACTGTACTGGAAAAACTTCAGTTAAGTTTTTCCCTTTATGTTGTCTTGTTTGGTATTTGTCTTTCCCTGAAACCGACAGAATTATATGCTATAATGGAAGGCATTTTGATATACAGGCCTGTTCATTTAAAACAAAGATGTCCATCACTTATTTTGCCCCCTCTTGATTTTGTAATGCAGACCCATTATGTTCTGTTGCTTTGTTCTTTTAAAGAACAACTGCAACAACATGTCCGTGTTCATGCAATGGAAGCAGTTATGGCTTGCTGGGAGATTGAGCAATCCCTACAAAGCTTAACAGGTGA